CTCTTGTATCAGAATCCAATCCAAACAGAACAAGGAAGCATGTCCTTCCTTAACTCAACATTTTTTGGCTAAAGCATTGCAGCTTAAAGCAAGGAGAGAGGTGTTTTGGCAGCCTATTTTGATGAATCAACCAGACAGCACCAGGGAAAGCACACACACCCCGCAATCGTTATTTGAACATGGGTTTGCACAAGCACAGTCTTGTCCTCTTTCTGTGCTTTGTTAAAAATCCATATAATACTTTGACAGGATATGATGTAGCATAGTGTTGATAAAGACGTGTATAAAAGAACAGGTTTAAAAAAAAAAAACAGCTACTTGAACCATCTTTTACCTTTAGCTTTGTTACTCTACACTTAATACTTGAGTACAAATGAAAGCATTGCTTGATTTCAAGGTGCATTCAGCATAGGGGTAGGTACACATACATTCACAATCAATCACCTTGCTCAATCACTAAACAATTTTATTGTTTATTGCTGCCCTGCAGATAAGTTTCAAATTTTTTGTAAGACATGTAGCTCTGATCTGTATAGAAGGTAGAAATTACATGGTCTTTCCAGACAAAGCAATGTTGCATGACTTAGAAGAGAGGTCCTACAAGGCTACGGAAAGGAGGTCTTCCAGTGTGTCTGTAACTAGGAATCGTGGAAAGCTTAAAGAAAGGTTAAAAAAAATAATTAGTCTATTCTTGCTGCTATCTTGTGTCAATTGCTTTTTTGGTGTTAGAGTTCTGGAAGTGAATTATCTCTCAGAATGCTGACAAAAAATGGAAAATAAATTGAAATATTGCTGTAGATAAGAATGGGTAAGGATGTGCGTATCCTGTTTATTGGTCCCCTTCTTAACATGAAACATGCATGGTCACATCCTTTTATGGACTTTTATGAGTCGTATACTCAAAATGAAAGTAGCTGTGTTCCAGCTAGGGTAAATGCTCCGTAACAGCTGGACAGGATTACTTTATGCTTTGAAGATATCTGGAATTTATGACAGTTTTATGACACTGCACATATTTTAGAGGAGCCAGGAGGATTCTCTTCTCTCTGGAAAATGCAGCACTTGGCACCAGACTCCGCATCAGTATGTCAGATCCTGAGCAAAGCTAACGTGATCAAATTTCAAGTATTTTGTGTCTGTTCATCTGAAAACTAAAGGTGATTTGCTCCTCCTTTATCTAAATGCTTTTAAAATAAGAAACCACCTTAAGAGAGCAACTCTCCTCTTTTGTGGCTTAGGCATCTTTTCAGCCCTGAATATAATTAAACTCAGTAAGTTAGTGAGTGCAATGCTGTCTAGACTGAACAGGCTCTAGATGGAAGTTAATACAGAACCTGACTGCTGTTAGCTCTGCAATGACCTTCTGCAGATCACCATTCTCCAAACCTAAGCTTCAAGGAGAAATTCTGCTTGCAAACAACATTCAGACAGCATGTAAATTACAAGTAACAATATAGTAACAGGAAAAAAAAATATACAGCTTTTTACATCAGTAAGAATTTCTCTTATTTTCACTGTCCATTTTAACCTTATTTTTTTATTGAGGTACTCCTTAAAAAATACCAGATTTGGAACACATTTAAATATTGTTTAGTAACTACATTTAAAGAAACCTACTCATTTATTCCCTTCCAAATTTGCTTGAGTAAATCAAGAAAACTGCACAATGAACTAAGCTATTACACTTTTTTAACAGGGCTAGGTATTAGCTTGTTCATCATAATGCGTTCACAAAAGAGAAAGTCTTAAGATACCTTTAAAAATTCTGCTATGTGGAACTATGTATTTGTCAGAGGTGGAAAGCACAGTTTGGCGTAAATGTCTATGAAGGGCTTTAAATAAAATCATTCCACTATAATGGGCTGAAATTAGAGTTTCACAGCACTATAATCTTTGAATTATTTAGCATTCGTAAAATTTCAGCTTCTAGAACAGAGATACTTAAGATTTTTAATCAAAAGCTTACAAAGTCCTTTCCTAGAGGTGACAGGAGAGCAGAAGTTATTCTTCTTCCATTTTATTTAAGCAGACAAAAAAAAAATACAGGTTGTACCAAGCAATTAAGTAGTACTGTATTCTCCACAAGTATCTTGAATAAAGGAAACCTATCTGTGAAACACTACAGACCTCGTGGTGATGGCTGTTTTCTTGTTTTTATTTCTTTAGTATTTCCAGCACATGGAATAAGAAGCAGCTCAAGAACTACAGCTGAGAATACTGCTCAATCATACGCTGCAGCTCATTAATAAGGGTCACCCAACTACATCATACCTTGTTTTTAACATTTTAAGCCACTGGCAGCTCACCTATAACTCTGTACACTTTTAAAAAATTTTTGAAATTAAGATTTGTATCTGGACATTTGTGTGATTACTATTTATTAGTCCATCTATAAACCAGAAATTGAATCATTCTCCAATATCCAGTGCAAAATATCTTCCCAGAAATGGAATTATAAAGTAATGCCAGGAGCAAATATGGCTCTGTTAGAAATGGGGCTTTAACTCAATGTGCATTGTTCCACCTTCTCTATGAAACACCAACAACTGAAATAATTTTCTATAAATATTTTAGATACATGTCTGCATAAAGTACTACAGCTGTGAGACATCATCTCCAGGTACAAGGGAGAAAACAAGATCAAAAAAGTGATTGTTGTTAGCAACTGATGAAGACATAAACGCATCTTTCACGTTGGCAAAGACATTCTTGAAAAATACTAGCTTAGAGACTGGGTTTTAGTTAAATCTTGGTAGTTTAATGAGTTTGCGTTAGAAAAAAAAATTATATAATATTAATAGGACAAAACTAACAAAAGAATGATTCTGAAACAAAAGCCTTCTAAGACTTCTTTTTTCTTTTGTTTCCAAATCATGGCTAAGCTCTCCCAGGTGAATTTAGAACTTGTTACAGACTCAATTTGTAAGCTGACAAGTTAACAGCTAACCTTCATTTAAATTGGTAACAGTATAGAAACTGGAGGCACTGCTATTTCTACAGAGGAAAAGGCTGGGGTATTTAGGACTCCGCTGCTTGGTGTGACTCCCGCAGCAGCTCGGAGTCAGCCGACGGCGGGTCAGTCACCACGCAGGGAGCTCTGAAAGGCATTTGGGCAAGAGCCAGCACATGCTAACTCAAACAAAAGCAAACAGTGGTATAGCAAAGCAGAAATCATAGTGATGGAAAATGCTGCAGATAAAAGGGAACTGTGGCAGAGTATAAGACACTAGGAGGAGCTGGGGGTACGAAAAGGCACCCTGACAACATTTGGGTGACAGGGAAGGAGACAGAGAGCTAGAGCACCTGCAGTAGGACTGAATCAGGAAGGGAGATGGTCGTTATTCTGACACTTTTTTACTGCTTGCCAGTTTTGAATCCACATCATTTTAAAGTAAAATGAAAACCAAGCAGAGCTTCAACTTAAAAAAAAAAAAAAAAAGAAAGAAAAAAGTTTCTTATCATCTGGTATTGATACTGTTGTTGAGATGCCAGAAAGCTGAATAAGCACTATTCACAATTAATACAATGCCAGATACGTTTAAAACATTAGAACACCACTAACATGGTATTCAACCAGAATTGAATTTCAGGGGATGCTGAAAATAATCAAATTCTGTACAATTAAGAAATGAAAAATGAGTGTGCCTAGAGCAAAAGACATTCTTCTCAAAAAGCTAACTTAATATAACCTCCTGATATTATCTTACTCTTTCAAAAGAAGGCATGCAGTGGTTCTACAGACGCTATATGCTATGGTTTCTCAGTAGCAACACAAGTAGAAAACCATATTACAGTTGTGGAAGCAAGTGCAGTAAGTCTCAAAACCTACTCTTCCATTAGTATTCATAAAATTCAAGTAATTGTAATTAGCAGTCTATATAAACAAAAGCATGCTCTTGCATGTGCACAAAACTATAGAATGAAAAGTTTGGAATACTTTCCATTACTTTTCCTAACCAGATAAGGAAGCTGTCAAATTCATCTTTCATTTCAAAACAATATGGGAAAATATTTTTGCATTCAGTTTTAGAGGATTTATAAAGAAATATAACATCCTGCCTTTTTTAAAATGTGGGGAAGGAGAAAGGCTCTTTCTACAAAGCAGCTTATCCTCAGAAATAGCACAGTTTGGTGCTAGACGTGCCACAGGAAGAGGGGGGAGGGCTTATATCACAAGCCTGTCCATTGTACTGAAAGACGACTTTTCCTATGGATGGGCGATCATCCTGTTATGCGGCTCTCAACTTCCTCCTGCATTGTGAGTCTCAAGTCATGGAAAGAGTAAAGTTCTTAAACTGAGGATTGTGTTGGGAACTCCAAATGCTTTCAATACAAGTTAACCAAACAAATACATCATGGTCAGACTATTAACATCCTGGTTTAGTTTGCTGAAGCCACAATTCTTTTGAAAAAATAATGTAATCAGGAGAACTCTGGATAGTTATCTTGCTAGTTCTTTTGGTGTATCATAACATGTGGACTAACAGAAAAAAAAAAAAGAAGTCTGGAACCAAAGTAGAAAGCCAAGTTCAAAATGCAAGACAATGCAACCTTCACAAAACAAACTGTCTGTAAATAGAGACTAAATGGGAGCACACTGAAAGATCCAAATAAAACTACACTAATTACCTATTAAAAAAAATATCTCTGAAATCTGAGAAACAGTACTCTAATTGCATTTGGGAAACATTAATTTAAACCTTAAGTTGCTAAAGTTTCAGTCACAGTTTCAAAGTGTGAAAGGTTGTTTTAAAGTGCCTCAATCAAAGGTCAGCTGTCCCCTTAAGAAAGAAACTATTACCAACATGGAGCAAAGTGACTGAAGAGCTATTAATGTTAGTTAGGTTAGGACTTGTAGCATGTGTTCCAAGAAGAGAGTACAGTACATACCAGTGCCATTGCAATCTATGCAGTCAACTGTGGAGCAGCCTGGTCTATGCCATTGGCAGGTTCTGATGTGTTGCAGCTAGGAGTTTGCTACGTTAAACGGCTCTAGTTACCTGATAGCCTTCTGTTTTTTTCTGGCACCACTTCAGCAAGGCATTTCTCTTGGATCCTCCATATTCTCTTGCTAGGGCAGACAAGGGATCTTTCCTCTCTTCCCTAGGAACAAAGCAGAAGGGCAATTTAGAGTTTGCAATGTATATTTTGCAACAGAAATACCTATTGTAAAGCTTAAAAAAAAGGGCAAATTCTTGTCACAGTGAAAATAATAGGGTACAGCACTACTGACTGAAAAAACAGAATACACAGAAATACCTGCAGAGACTTATGAGTTATTTTGGAGTAATTCCTTCCTTAGCAAATCATCTTTCTTTCCCCTTTAAATTAAACTTTTCTTTCTAGGTCTTTCAACCTCAATGATATTTTTTTTAAGAGTTCAGAAAATTAAACTCACAACATGGTGAGTTCCAGCTCGAACCATTAAGCTAACTCAAGTGACTTTATTTTGTATTTAGAAAGAGAATAAACTGATGCTATCTCTTTTACATCTCATGGCTGATTACAAATGTCACCTTGAAACAAGTTTGCATATTAGCAGCACGCCATTATTAACAGAACATTTGCCTGAGATCTGGAGTTCTCTAAAAAGAGGGAGGTGCTCTTACGAGGCTGATCTGCCATTTGATATACTGACACAATGATTCACCTTTTTCAAATAAGAATATTCAATTACCAATAAAAACTATCAATTAATTTCACTTCCAGTCTGCCATGCTATCCTAAGTCACTTTTTCTTTAAGGAAAGACTGGGGAAGAAAAGAATGAATATATCCAGGTTGGCCAGTTTCTCATATGAGTGTTACGTTACATCCCTTTACCAGGCTTACAAAAATGAGTGCTTCAATTAAAGAAATATATATTATAGAGGCTAATACTTTTGTAGTGGCCTAGTTACATGATTCAATATTTCAACAGATAATGTAGTGAACAGCTCTGACAAAAAGACTAAGTATTACACTATTATGGAGCTTGGTTACTGCACCATCTATGCCAGCAGTTGTTCTTATTTTTAATAATTTCCATTTGGGAAATTAAATTAAGATAACTATCAGTGTATCCATACCGCAAAGATTTCCTCATCTGCCATTTTTTCAGGAGTTCTATGCAGACATAAGCAGGATTCTCACAACAACCACAAAGATAATACCATCAGTTACTACTTTTGGGTATTTCCAAAAAGATATACAGATTGTATACGTTCACTCTCAAATCCTCAACTCTTTGTTCTTTTACAACCCACAAGGTGATTGAAAAGAGGGGTGGAATGTGGAAATACATAATATCTTCAGTGGATTATCTGCTACAGTTTTACAGGTGGCAATTCCTCAGGTCCTGCAAGGAAAAGAAAGCATGCATGGAATGCGGATTCCTCACCTAAATGTGCTACCAACAGAACACCAGAGAACCTTCCACGTACCAGCATCTGTCACTCAACTCATAAAAGAAGAGAACATGTGCCAAAATACAACGAAATGTTCTAAGGCACAAATCTTAAATATTTGTATTGCAATTTGGTTGGTCAGTCTTCACTGAAATACAGATGGCAAGATCTCCACGTTGCTTAGAAAGAGTTATCAGCGGTGGCATTTGAGACTTCCATGAAAATATATGCATAGCAGAACAGGAAACAGTAAGTGCCTTTCAGCATGAAAGACAGCAATATAAGCCTTCAAACCCAACTGCTAATTTCAGAGCAATTTAAGGTGACAATGAAGTTGCTAATTCTGTATTTTAAACAGGAATTATATGAATAGGTTACTGTATCTAAACTTCATAGGTACCACACAACCAGAATGATGCTTCAAGAAATTCTGTACTTCAGTTCTTAAATCAGCACCCATTTCAACAATCCAAACTGATGCATTTTTTTCACTGGTGATTGAAACAAATAATAAATAATGGCATATTCAATCTACAACAAAGATTATGCAACACTACGAGAACTTTAGAGCAGAGATTCAGGACAACATACAAGAACTCAAATGAAAAGCTCCCTCTCTTTACGCTAAACATACTGCTTAGCCATGAGGGAGCTGTACGGCCTGTTCTCCAATTCCAGTAAGAGCACATGGTTTATATCAGGTTCTCACAGTTATGAAAACACCGCTGAAGAAAATAAATTAGCGTAAGTTGTATGGAGACAAGAAAAAATGGTTTGACATACAAATCTTACAAGTTGGTATATTAGGTCAACTGTATTCCAAATCAAAGAGCCAAGGAAGTTCCAACTAGAACAGGGAACAGTAAACTGCAGGTATTTGTTTTAGTGAACTACAGCAGGAACTGTTTATTTTACAATAACTTTCAGGAAAAGGTAAGAGAAAAAAGAGGAACAGAATCACATAACAAATTGAAGTCCAGCAGCAACATTCTGAGGACTATTCCACTCATCACCACGCACGGCTGCAGCTTCCACTGGGAAGTCTCCTTGTAGCACTTAATGCTCGGGCAGCAGAGTAATGGTATCATAAACGTAACTGTACAATTTTACCATGAAATGCCACACTATTTCCTATTGTCTGCAGGCTGCCATGGATGCAATTTTATGTATTAACAGTTCAAAGCTCACATACAGGTGTTTTCATCTTTTTTTTTTTTTTTAAATTTCTGGATGTACCTGGTCTAAACTTCGGTGCTACCACACACAACATAATTGCTGCTGGTGAAGTACCCACAGACCCAAACTCTTCTGCACAGTGAAAGGAGAGCAGTGAGGGACACCTCAGCTGATTTCAGGGAAATAGTTTTCAATAGCACCCACACCTGTAAATAACTTCACAGTTTTATCATGTAATTATTACATATTGCAAATGTTTCAGAACGTTAAGAATTTAATATTTCAGCTGTATTAAAGTTGTGTCAGGAAGCTCTGTGTTAAATGGCCTCAAGAAAGGGATTTAACCTCTGTGTGCTGTTTTCCCAATCTATGAAGCAGGGGTAAGTACATACTTCACTTGCATAGCACGAGGCTTAAACACTTTGAAGTCCTTTGACTGATAACACTACAGATAGAAAAGTTTTAAATTTATCACAGACTTATCTCTTTATCTTACTAATGAAAGGGGATTGCCTGGCCATTTGTTACTTAAACTTGCATTACTATTTCATCTGTGGGACAAATAACCCAGGCCCATTCACTAATGGCTATTCAGAAGACTTGGCAGTGTCTGGAATTAAGACCTAGTCATGCTGCTTTTTGTCTTCAGCTGCAGTTTCAGAAGTTAAGGTTTATCATGTGGTCTCCCTGGGTCCAAGCCACTCTGCAAGATTTGTTCAACACGCCATAACATGAGCTTATTTCTTGAATTTGGCTTCATGGCATTTTGAACCGATATAATGCCATTACGTAGTGACATGACTTAGCTTGGTTTTCTAGTGGAGCATAAAGTTTTGGTATTAACCTCATAAGATCTGAAAGCCTAATTACTGCTCTAACTTTTAAAACATACACTGAGCTGCATAAAACACTTTCTGAAGCTCCCAAAGATTATTAAAGATCGCTATTGTATGGATGGCATTAGAGTCTGCAGTCACAGTGCCAATATTACACACCAGATATATGGAGACAGATAGCTATGAAATTAACACATTTCAGTGCACTGCAAAAAAGGGGTTTTACCTTATTCGACTTCTGGTTGTAGGGGTGACAGATGCCGTAGGAGAAGATGAGAGTGAGAGCTGTGGTGAGGTGGTACCCATTGCCATGAGAGATGCTGGAGATGCTCCATCAGGTGCACTGATGTCCCGTTTGATTTCTTCACTACTTCTTCGAGAGACTAAGTGGGAAAATGTCCATATATTTATCATTTGCAAAAATAAAACCTTTCAAACTCATTCTTGCTCTCTGACAAGCATCAGTTCAGAAACCAGGCATGAAAACCCATATGCAATACTAGGTTTCAACATTTTTCCTGATACTTTGAAGAAAATTTGTAATATAAGGAAAGATGAGATAGAAGTCAACTGTTATGTGCATGATTCATACTCATCCATCTGGTGTGTTGGTACAAGTCATATATGCAATAATAAGGACATAAGCAGTTAAAAAAAATAACCTATTCAGTTCCACTTAATGCAACACAAGGGAATATGATTTTAGCATTAGACTTAGTTTCTTTCCCCAAAACTTGAACACTGAAAAATAAGCGATTCCAAATATCTGAATAGAGTTTTTTTTGGTAAGAGCTTGATGGTCTGAAGACCAAAGTTTTCTCTTGAAAAAGTGAAATGTATCTGTAGGTACAGTATTGAAATTAGAGTTCCTGATTTTACTTATAATCTATAAAACATGGTATTACCAGAAATAGATTTGGCACTTTCCATAGCGGGTACTCTTGGCAAAGATGCTGGCCTGCTGGTAGAAGATGTTCTCAACAAATGTTCTGGACAAAAAAACAGAAGAGAGAACATCATTAACAAAGATTCCAGTTAAATGTAAGACATTTAAGTATGAGTCAAGAATATTGTCTACCAGTGCCTGAGTTTGGCTGTTTTAGTGAGAGGAACTGATTTTATATGAATGAAAGAGAAGGCCTAAATTTGCTTATTACCAATAAAGATCACTATGAATACATCATGGCCTACTTAATCCTTTTTCCCTAAGGCCTCTCACTAAGCCACATGCCCTGGTCTATAAAATATGAATTGTTAAACCAAAAGGCTGAGCAAGGAATCCCCATTTAGTACCTGGCCAAAAATATTCTATATGCCGTTCACAATGTGGGTTGGTAAAGTAGATTGCTTTGTCCCTCATTATTTTATTTTTCCTTTGGTTTGTTGGGTTGGGTTTTATTTTTTAAATAAAAACATGAGGGGTTTTTTCCCTCCCCCATGCATCGGAATCAAGAAGGTGCCTTTGCATATTGTAGAGATACAGCAGTTCTGTCTACTGCCAATGAGTAAAATTCAAACGACAACAAAATTCATTTTCTGTCACATCAGATCAAATCCATTTCCTATTATTGAAGAAATATTTCTTCAAATAAAATGTTTAGACTGTAAACAAAAGGTTTACATATTCCTATATAGAAACACTTAGAAGGCAGTAATATGAATACAAAAAAACCCCATGAAAGTGAAGAATGAGGATTAAAAAAGTAAGACCCCATTCATTGGCTGAAAACATGACATAAGAAACATACATTGCTACAGAGATACTTTAGAAATATATATGGTTGTGAACAGGAATTCTGTCTGGCACATTCGCTATTGAATGCAGTCCTGCTCCTGCATTAACTGACTAAAATGAAAACACAAAGACTACATAAAGCATACCACTCCTTTTGTTTTTAAGCTTACGTCTAGCCATGAACTCTCTAACAATTAAAGAATCCTAAACTATCTTCTTGGAAAGGCACTTCAATATTCCTAAAAATATCCAAGTTTCTAAAATTAAAACTCCAGCTGCATTGTACAAATAACCTCAATATGCATTCAACAAAAGCAAGAAGGAAATCTGGCACATACGGACTATTATGAAGTGCTACAAAAAAAAAAAGCAACAACGAACCCTTTAGAAACCATCAGACCTCAGGAATACCAAATTCAGAGGAAATATTCAGCCTGGAGTCATATGGGGATTATCTTGAGAAACATCTACAAAAAAACCACCCTAAAGCAGGCATAAATCAGAGAGCTACACCCAACACATGATAGCCATTCATTCTCACAGGAAGAGCACATTGTGAACAGTGTTTTGAGAGACAAAACAAAGTTCACAGAACAGGGAAATATTGGGAAACAGATAAATCAACACTCAATTTATTCCATTCAATTTTTTCAATATGGCTCCTGAAGATTCAATACTCAGTAAGTTTATATTTTGTTATTCACATGCGATGCAATGCCAACCATCATCCCTATTTCATTTTGGGGAGGGGAAAAAAAACCCAACCACACAATACATGATGTAACTCCAGAGGTGTGTATTTTTAATATCTGGAAGACAGCTGCAAGGCATGTCCCTGAAATCATCTTGTCTTGATTTTTCAAGTGATCTCAGTTTATGCACCCATTAATAACTGTTAGAATAACGCTGTGATCTCAGTTTATGCACCCATTAATAACTGTTAGAATCAGGATGCAATCATGGTCTTCAATGTTTGCAAAAATCAAAATTGAAAATTCAAAAAAGTTTTTTTATGATGTGCCACCATGTGTGATGAAACACAAGGAATAAAAGCTTGAACTTGAAATATTCCATGATTCTATGAAAATATTATGGCAATAAAAAGTATATAATATTATAATACTTTGGATACTAAACAATATAAAATAAAAACAAGTATTAATAGCATTGCTAAAAACAAAGTTTAAATGAACTTGAATTAATACCTTGAACAGGGATTTCAGCATAGCTTGGCCTTTTGTCTGTCAGCGTAGCAAGGGGTTTTGAAGCCGAGATTGGTCCACTTATAGAATGCCTCTGAAATGGAAAAATACTTGCATCAAACATAATCTGAAGGTAAAAAACAAACATGGAACTACAGAATCAGCTTTAGAAACTCAGATATGACATTATTACTGATTCAAAATAACTAAAACCCTAAAAGAACCTTTAAGAATACTTAGTGAAAAACAGCATGTCCTCTTTATCTATTGCTTTTGTCAATCTGAATCTATGCAGTGATATTGTAACATCTTCTTTAAACTTAAACCTTTAATTTTAAACTTAAATTTTCATGTTCATTTATATTTTGTTTGTACAAATCTGTTCTGGTTAAAGTTGATGTGTTTATTTAAACTAATACAACCACCTATATGTAGCCAAGATTTCAGTGTTCGATTTGTCTTATTAACATATGCCTATAGCTTTGTGGCTTTTGTTGGAAGATTAGGACAACAGTGTATTGGATGTAGTGACATGAACTACCTGTTGCTAAGAAAAACCTTACTGAAAAAAACTTTTTTTTATTCAGAACATCAACAGCTTTTGTTACCACCTATTTAACTGAGATGCCTGTAAAAAACTGGAGAGGCATTTTGCTAAGTATTTTCAAATATGTAATGAAATACAATTATTTTTTCTAAGGTCATTAATTCAATCACAATCAGTCCAGTAACGTGTGTATCCTAAAAACTCTTTCAGCTTTCCATCTGGCCCAAGTTTAGATGAGAAGGTTAAATGAACCTTATCTTCATAAGATAATGAAGGTCAGATGTTTCTCATGCCAAATCATATAGGCAAGACAGAAAAATGCAAAATTGTGATTAAAGAAAGTTAACAGCATATACTTTGCAGTGTCCTGTAGCACAGGCAGGATTATAGGGCTACTTATTCATCATTTAGACTCAAAATACGCTTTTGTGCCAGTGCTAGAAATCAAATGGAGAAAACAACTGCCAACCATCTAAGAATCAAACTCCAAAATATAGCTTGAAGAATTTCATCACTTTAGATCTCAAAAGTCCTGCACGTATACAACAAAGATCATTCCTTTAAAAGTGCAGATGGAAGTGACTGCTATGAACAGAACTGGGTACAACAGCTTCCCAGAAGAACTGGTATTTCAAACTTGCATTAACTTTAAAGTTCACTTCACCCACCTAGGAATTCTTTTTTTAGTGACTGCAATTGTGAGCTATGAACAGAACCGGGTACAACAGCTTCCCAGAAGAACTGGTATTTCAAACTTGCATTAACTTTAAAGTTCACTTCACCCACCTAGGAATTAATTTTTTTTTTTGTGTAAAAGGACAAGGATGCTATCAAAGCGAGAACCTCTCCCCAAAAAAAGGAAACCACTATAATAGAGTTAGATAACGAGGTTAAAAGCAAAACATTCCATTTTGTCATTCTGTCTAGCTTTGGGATTGCTGTTACCAAGACCGTACAGTACAGAACTTCAGCCAGGAAACCCAGGTACACAGAGCTCAGGCCCAGTGCTGGATAACCCTGTACCTTTACCACTTTCTCAGCTTCCGGATACCACTTAAAAACAAACATCCTTTACGGATATTGTCAGAAAGTGGTTGTATTACTCAGCTGATAACTTGCTCTGTCCTGGGCTTGTCTCCTTGTTATAAATCAAACTGTATGTCTTTTTGCTCCTGTTGACACTACAGACGGGGCTTACTCTCACTGTTGCTAGTTCCTTATTACATATTGTACTCTTACAACTACCAGCAGCAATGTAGTGACTACTACACAGCAAATTAGAGGAAAATGAACCAATTAATGTTTATCTAGTTCTGCTTGGCAATAACTATATAGTACTAGTGCACAAGTCTCTTGGAGAATAATTTTTCCTGAAACATTTTACAGGTTTTAGAAACTTTTCTGCTTGGCTGAGCCTCTGCTGAATTTGCAGATCAGCCATTCCTTATTTACTTACAAAATAAAAACACATCTGATGTACAATCAAACATGTATGGATTCTACCAATCACTTTATAAATAACTTTTTTTCTTCAACTAGAAATACATCGTAAAACTCACTTAACTGCTAAACACCATTTGTGATTTATACCAGTGTTCAAACTCCTCAACACTAATTGAAGGGATCAAAAGTTCAGCGGAATCATGTGCTTTTGAAGCTATTAATGAAGGCTACTAATGGGACAGAAATTATTAAAGATGCTTTGCAATCTGTAATCCTCCTCTTATGCATCCTACATTGAGATCTAGCAGAAGAAAATGCTAGAAACTTTAAGGACCACTTTGCATATGGCGTATAAAGAAAATAATTCATAGACAAATAACGTATTTTTACGTAGTAGTCACACTAGAACATAATTACAGTAACAGATAAAGTAAAGATGTTAAGATCAACAGTTACTTTCTCACAGCCATTTCTAATTTGAAGATAATTAAATAATGTATTTTTACGTAGTAGTCACATTAGAACATAATTACAGTAACAGATAAAGATGTTAAGATCAACAGTTACTTTCTCACAGCCATTTCTAATTTGAAGATAAAGTTTCTGCTAGCTAATGATGACTCTTTTCAGTTCTCTTTTCGTTTAATATGAAACAGAAAAAGAAAGTACTCAGGGAAAGCAGCAGATGCTTCCTTGTCCTTCTATTCCTCCCTAGGCATCTGCTTTGGTCACTCCCAGTGGCAACACCAGACCAGCTCGGCTTTGGGCCAAACCAGGGGGGGTTGGGTTTACATTCTGAAGAGCATTCACTTTGTACCTCTTCTCCTAAATTGTTTTGCAGTATGGCTAAGTGCTATGGTAAATAACAGCTATGGGCCACTGTGGGCTTGGATTGAAGCCAGAAAGGTTTTGTGTTTTCAGTTGCAAAAATGTATCCAAGAATGTATCTCCTTATGCATATGCATATTACTGTAAAGAAAAACAAACAAAAACTCTCCAAGATGAGGAAATTCATGATGCAGTCCAACACTAAAATGAAGTGATACACACATTTCAGAGAGGGCACATGTTGATGCATCTGTAGTTGGAGAATCTTTTTTGCAACCAATCCATCTTATCATAATATCAAAATTGTGCCAGTTTCTCAGTAGGTGCCCATGTAAATATTTCCCCTGTGATAGCATGTGACAGCAACTGAGATTAGCGGTAATAAGCGCTGCAACACCCATACCAGAGATCAACCCTTCCACCTTTACTTAAACCATGGACGACTTCTACAAGCCAACAGGAGTCAATAGGTCAACTCACACAGTGACATTAAAATCTCACTTTTCAATTGCAAGAGAGTAAAAACCACCAACAAAAAAAAAAACATACAAAAGTTGCATAAACACAACAGTAGAAAGCAAGGTAGTACCATGAAAGTAAAGGGAAAGATGCTGAAAACTGTTTTTGAACCCAACCCCCTTCTCTCTTGAACAGAAAATAATCTTTAAATGCAACTTACACAACTGAGGTCAGAAAACCCAATTGCCTTCTGGATAATTACAAATATTTTCAAGAAAACCACCTATCTTCAAAAAGACAATAGCAGCTGTTTTCATTTCCACACCCTCCCTTTTGTTTTTCAGGCAATGTTTCCCACTAATGAGTATCCAGCTGTTAATGACTTAGTTCTGTACCAGAAGTAGAATTCAAAATTCAAGTAATTCTGGCAGATCGAGAACATCAACACAAGAGCTGTAAACCTAGGCAGGTTTGCAGTATTTTAAGATATTACTTTGATTCATGGTTAATTTACAGGTAAATAAAGTGAAATACGCCTTAGGCTTCATTCAAAAAAGTCTTTTGTCTGCCAAAGCTCTGGTCTAGCCCTTTAGAACATGAGATTAAAGGTGCCTCTTCCTACAAGAGCTCAGAAATAAACAGAAATATGAAGACAGATCAATAGGAACAAAGCATCTGTCAGAGAACTTCTCACATTTAACTACTTTAGAAAACTACTGTCAAGAGTGACTGAGCCACGAGAAATAGCAGAAGCTCTCACAAAAGCATTTAATTCTTTCTCTCTGCTTTGAGGCTATTTGTTCTATGAAGTTCACTTTTAAATTAATCAAAGCTGCACTAGTCTGAGTGCAGCAGAACAGTCAATTTGTTCCAGGTATTGTTCCTAGAGCACTAAAAGCTAATATGGATATAGATTCTTCACTTCACACAAAGAGGATTTATTACCAAAACAATATGCTGACCTATAGTAAAAATCAAGTTTTTCTACATCTGGTAAATAATATCTTGAAGGCAATAGGAGAATTGCTGACATTAAAGGAGTAAAACATAGTATATTATTTGATTTTTCTTTACGATTCTGGTCCCATCTGCCTTGCCCTTAAACTTGTTGGCTTTCACCAAAATCTCACTTCATACATCTAGTGAGATAATAAAACCAACAGTGATCTCTAAAGCTGGGCATTACAGTACTGATGGTGCAATCTTAGCATACCCAGGCTCCTGCTGCAGCTGAATAAATGGACAAAGCTTCAGAGGCGAGAGGACAAAATGCACAGTACAATCACCAACTGGCCAAACTCTCAGCCAGAACAAAATGAACAAAGGGAATCAATTCAGAATGATTTCATTCCTCTCTGGTCAGGTCTGGTATCAAAAGCCTGTGCAACATGGGATACATTTATACTGATGATTGCTGACAGATTCTGCACGTGTCTGTCCACTGCCCAAAGGGGATTACTGCTGTTTCCGTGCCAGGCACAGGACTAAGAACTGACAAACAGCAACTCTAAAACTAAGGAATGCAGATAAAGTTTTTCTTCCATGCTTCTCAGTAGCACAGAAATAGTATTGGTTGGGAATATTTAACAAGAACTTCCAAATTATGCCAAATCTTGTATTTACAATATGGTTCTCAGTGAATGACTCTTTTGTTAGACTGAACATTTTAGTAATTACTTACTTGAGGCAACATTTTATCACCATTTCCCACAAAGTCAGCCAATATTCGTATATTACCACCTGTAGTTTCACATGCTCCTCTTTACAAAGAAGGATTAAGTGCAGTTATAAAAAACCTACCTGCATAGGGGACACAGCAGCAGCCGGGGGAGTTTTCATGGGACTTGGGCTGAGGGGAGTGCGAGGAATTGTGGCAGCAGCAGGGCTTGGAACTAGCAGGAACACAGAAAGGAAGCCATCCTGAGCAACGTATTGTTTTGCAGTGAAACACAAGACTGGCTCTAACAGCAAACTCTCTCCTTGTACCTTACATTACTAGTTTTACCAGATCACATCTTTCAGAATTTCAATTAGTACCTGACTGCAAAATAATTTTAAAATATGCCTACACGTATACTCCTCTGTAATTACATTAATTTTCTATCTTGAATATATCATCCATGGTAAAACCATAAGTTTACTGCAGGTGGACAAGGCTAAGGTGCAGAATACTATTACCCTGGCAGATGTAAATGATGGCATTACTAGTTTTCTGATCTCCCCATAATTAAAGAGATGGTAGCAGGCTCCTGGGTCTGCCAGTAAGACAAGAAATATAACCTATTATCACCTGCTTCTCAGGTCTAGTTTTCAATCAAAGTCGACAAGTACTACATATTATATAGGTAAAGAAAGCCGACAAGTACTACATATTATATAGGTAAAGATAGTCCCAGGAATTTTGATTCAACAAATGACATGTTTAGAAATGTGTAAAAACAGACAAATACTGAATTGGTGAATCAATCAGGAAGATGACAGACAGCAGCTTGAAATAAAAGGTTAGAAAGAAGGGAGAGGGGATTTATCATTTTACCAAACTAATGCTGGCAAGAAAGCACCTTTATCCAATAACAGGACAAATACTGAATTGGTGAATCAAATATCTGATTATTTAACAGCATCATTAGACATGAATGCTGAGGAAGATGACAGCAGCTTGAAAGAAAAGGTTAGAAAGAAGGGAGAAGGGATTTATCATTTTACCAAACCAACGCTGGCAAGAAAGCACCTTTATCCAATAACAGATCTAAAAAAGCTTCTAAATTAACACTATAAAAAACTGTAAATACCTATGAACAAAGAGAACAATTATGGAAATAGAGTCATTTACAGAATCACCAAATAATGCAGAGATACTTCTATAATGATATTTTTTCATGTTATAAGCATTTAAAAATAGATTTGCCACATAGTCTTCTTCCAGCCAAGCCTTTTTACATCAGAGGCTTACAGTGACACTATTGTAAATTATATTCAAAGCCAAAAGGCCTGGGAAGGGAAATATTTTAATCAATACAAGGTCTCATATGTAGTCAAAGGTAAAACCCAAGTGTTTCTCATTTCAGTATAATGACTTGTATTCCTTATTCTACTCATCTATAGAGAAAGACAACAGCACCTGTTTCCACAATCAGAGAATTATAGTAACATCCATTGTCTCAACAGCGAGATCCCTTTCATTTTAGAAATTATTCCCTACATCTTTTAATAGGTGATACTGGCTGAACCTTATTTTTAACCATCATCAGCACTTGGACTATAAGAATATAAGCTATTAAAAGAAACAAACTCTGCTCTAGCTATTACATGGCTTTTAGGATGCTTAATTTGGCACATTAAATTCACATTTTAACAGTAAGGCTGAAATCAGCTGTGCTTCCAGCTATAATTATGTGTGTAATATGTGTTTATGTATTTCTAATATACAGGAGCGGTGAATCAAAGCATCCAGCACATGAGTCATTGGCAATGTGACAGTAAAGAAAAAAATAAAAGACAAGACAAAAAAAGGATGCTTGCACTTAGCTGCAGTGAACAATCTGTTGTGTGATCTAGTCTAGGTTGGTTTGTTTCATCCATAACTTATCAGTCATGACAATACAATAAAACAACTTACCTTTGAATTAGCTAAGCCATTAGAAGTACCCATGTCAACATATGCAAAATTGTAAGTTGGTACAGCTACTACACTGGTTGAAAACAATTACCTTGGGAGGCACTGTCAAATGACTTGATGAGTGTTTTTACAGTAGGAGTTGGCTCTGAGGAGGTGGATGATCTGCGACTCAGGCCCATTCCTTGTCTCAGAGCTGCCAAATCTCTCTCTACAGCGTTCATGTAATTGTACACTCGACCACGTTCCTCTTCCTGCCTGAAATCAATATGCAGCCCATTTAAGACATTTAAAAAACATTTTAACATGCAAAGTCTTAAAATCAACATGAATTTGAAGCTAAATTAAAATCTATGGTCCAAATTGGTCATTATATTAACCTAGTTTTCTTTCCACTGTAATTTAGAAATAGATTATCAACTTAAATTATCATTGTAAGTTCCTACTATTTGTCAATAAGACAGCTTAAGCACCAGGTGAAAATCCAATCAAATCAATACTTCATTTCAAGCTTAATTCCTGCTTCTGTCTCTCAAACACCCACACATACACATGGATTGAAAAAATTAAGCCTTAAGGATTTCACCATTTCACATGAAAATAATCAGCTCAGAAGGGAGAGGCTTTTTTCCACCTTCATAAACAGAAAACAATTTGAATGAATACTAAGGAAGTGAGAATACATTTCTGGCATATATCTTTAGGCAGCATATGAATCCGTTTAAAATAATTAGATTTTCAGTACAGAATGTTTATGGTGGTTACTGTATTCAGTGTCATTCATGAGACAAGGTTTGTTTGAAGCAACCTATTTTCTACACTCTGCAAGTATTAAACATTGACTGATTTTTTGCTTCAGCCACTGGAACAGACTTTCCTAGAACCTTCCCTGCAATACAGCAGCTGCCACTGCCCAGGAGTCTGATCCAGTTGCCGTTTTGTTCTCTGTCTGCAGTGAATCAAATGTCAAAAGATGCTTGTGCATAGACAGTAATGAATACACTGACTGGAATCAGCAAGCCAATTCTACCTTCCACACTCTAGCTGTAACCTCAAAGGTTCACTTGCAAGCAGTAATTGAACAATTACCATTCTGGCTGAAATATATTAGTAAGAATTGTTCATATTACTTAGTTTGGTGATCTCATTTCAGATAAGACGCCTTACGCCCATCACTTATTCATCCAGATAATATTCCATTTTCAGTGTAACCAGCCTGCTCTTCCTACCATCAGCTTTTCCCCAAGCCTGCATTACCTCACATCCTGCCGGAAGCTGTGTTAAGTGTATTGTATCCTATAAAATGCCCAACCACGTGGAAAAAAAATTGTTTAATATATATACACCACACTCATGATTGCTATAATTATAAGCTATATGCGTATTCAATGCCTAGAGAGACAATGTAGGCAGGATTCAAATGGTGCTGTGCAAGATCTTCCTATTATACGGATTTGAAGGACTGTAATACTTCTGAAAGACACATAACTCAGTTTCTAAACAACTGTAGCACCTAATTCAAGCCACAATAAATCACAGACTGAATTGTTTTTATGAAAAATGTTTTTATACACAAAGCATCTCTAATTAGTTCCAGAAACAATTATCAGTGGAAAGAAAACAGTACAAGATATATGCAGAATTAGAAGGAGGTTTCTTCTCAGGTAAAAATCCAGCTGTATTTTTAACCTTACCAAAAGCCTTGGCTGCTAATGAGATGTATTAATGATGGTATAGAAAAGCCAACACTGCTTGATTTTCACACTGAGGGAAGTTAAATCACATCCAACTGTTAAAGGGAAAAAATCCTCCACTTCAACCTGGTTTTACAAAAGCACCAAACTGAATACACTTGGATGGATTAAGTATCAACTTAAAGAAACAAATATTGTTTTTATAAGTTTACCTATTTTGACCCCTAAAAGCCTGTGTAAAGCAGCTTGTTGAAATACAGATCCTCATTGTGAGAGAATTTATGAGCTTTCAGAACCTCAAGAATAGTTAAGACACGGGATTTCCAAAATTGTACTGCCCCCAGCAAAAGAGACAATATCCCTGCTGTCTTTTGCATACTTGCGTGACTTTATTTCCTCCAACTCTTTAGTGAGCTTCTCATTTTTCTCCTGAGCTTCATGTAATCGACGCTTCAGGTCTCCTATCTCTTCTTGGGCCTCAGACTTTATATCATTGGCTATAACGACTGCAGTCTGGAGATCAGCCTGGAACTGACGCCATTCTGCTGATTCCTCCTACAAGTAAATCAAACTTTAAATTGAAAGCAGTAGCAAGAATTTTGAAGTTAAAAATAAAAGTTATCCTTATTATTCATAGTTTCCCTATGCTGTTACAGAAGGCAACTTAGAGGAATGATAAAGACACTCATCTCTGTCACTAGGCACTACCTAACCTAGAAGTTAAATAGCAGTTTTGCTGGGAATAACTGGAGTGCCAAGGTCATGGATTTCTTTTCTAGAAAAAAAGAAAATGTTCAAAGTAGAGCAGAAAAAGAAATTAATGTTAAGCTATGCATCAGAAGACACCATCTTTGTGACACTGAGAATTCTTTAGTGTCTGTAGGTTAGTAAATATATTTCCACATGATGCCTGTATATCAAAAATAATTATTTTAATGGTATTACATCTAATCATTTTACCTTTTCACAATTTCACATGCAGGTCTTATGAAATTCCAAGTTTACAATTTATTGAGTTTTTAGGTTTTTAACCTACCCGGAGTCTCCTGTGAAGATTCTTTATCTCTCTTTCCATGTCATGTTTTTGGTCCTGAAGTTTTTTAACTGTATCTGGAAAGAAAGTAAAATTCTCTGTGAGATCTTAATCGGGGATCTATTTACTTAAAGAGGAACTGAAACAACCTGCAAGTGTTTTTAAAAACTTACTTAGAGATACATTTTTATAACCAAAGCCATCTGGAGAAGAACAGTATGAGCAAAAATAATTTGACAAAAAGTACCCACAGGTACATACTTTCCATAACTGGTGAGGGGAACAGCTTAAGCAAACTCAATTCTTACACAAATCCCAGTCTCTTCTCCACCCTTCACAACATTAAAATGACAAAGCGATAACAAAAAGCAAATAAGCAAGGTAGGTAATTTAACATGGGAGGATCCTAAAGACATGGATGTCTGGCAGGTTTCCCTCTTCAAAGGTAAGCTGCAGCTACATAACGCCTTTTGATTCACAGTTTACTCCCTGCCACAAAGCAGCTGACATAACAGTCACAGCCATGTCTGCAACAGGGAAAAAAGTCTCCTCATGTCCTCAAGAATCTTACATTCTTGTCTATCAAGCTACTATTTGAAGTTGAAACAAGCTATATTTACAGCAAAGGGACAAACAGTCTATGAGATCACGTTATGAAAGAGATGATCCCTTAAATCTGTCAGCAGCTATACAAAAGGGTAAGCAGCTTGATCACCACCAACTCCTCGTGCGGCGTCTGACAGACTGGCTACTGCAATTATTATTCATTTGTTACTTTTTTCAATACACACGGACAATGTGATTGATTACTCCATTCTTATAACTAAGCAACTCATGAAGAAGAACACTGATCTTTGGATTCTTGGATGATTTTATTTCTATAGCATCATGTTGCTATTCCAAACCATAAAAACGATGGCCCAACTGACCGGAGGCATTTTTTTTAGTTCATGTTCATTATTCCAAAACCTGCTGGAAACAAGGATTTTCCCTGTATATATATATGGAAAGACCATATATAATGGTCTTTCCACAAAAAGACTGAAGGTGCCTATCAAATTTAGGCTGTTCAAAATACAGATCCTTGACATAAATCTATGGAACTGCTAAATAAATGTTTGAATAGTCAGAAGATGAGTATGTAGGTTCATAGAAACAGATCAATACAGTAAAGTTTTGCGGCTCTCAATTTCTAACATGAAAAGCTTTCCAGTGCTTTTATTTGGGTACGAGGTGTCAGGAAAACCAGCAAACCAGGGTGTATCCAAAGTGACTTGTCCTGCCAATACCTACCAGTGGCTTCCCAAGAAAGCCTATACTTTCACTACTCCTAGTCTTTTATCAAATGGCTTTTCTTAACAAGAAAAATGAGGCTAGGGCAGACTAAATGGAAAATAGTAAGCATTTCAAAACGTTTAAATCAGATGCAATAAAAACTAAGAGCAGATTTAAGATGATTTATGCTGATACGTACATTAAGCAGCCTCAACTATGCTCGTAAGAACATTTCAATTTTTCAGCCATGGAATTCCTTTTGGTTTCTTCATCAGAAGAAATTCTTGAGTTTTGCCTAAACAGTCCCAAGCACAGAGGCTTTCAATGCCACAGTTAATTTCTTTACAAGAATGACACAAACCTCTGTTGGCCTGAAAACATGATAACCTTTCAGGCTTGGAAAAGTTGAAACACTAAAATTAGACAGATATTTCCGGATTTATCTCCTCCTCACAAGATTGCACATTTTACGATGCATCCATCTGATCTTTAAGCTTTGAAGATAAGCCTAACAGAGCGTGCCACTCAAATCTCACGCTACCATGTTATTTAAGCAAAGCCCTCCAATTTTTAGCTTGTCTCTGTGCACATAACTTGTTTAGGCTAAAGCCAGCGTAGCTTTAGGTCAAAGTTATAAAAGTTGCTCCCTCTCCCCACTTTTTTTTTTCTCCTTTAAACACATGCTTAAAAAAATCCACTGCAAATTAGATAACTTTCAAAATGACAGCAAGTCAACATGCCCTAAAGAGCTTTCAGTAGCGCTTTGAAACAAAATCTAGCAGATGACCATTTTCTCTTTTAAAGACAGTTCAAAGATGTGTTTTTAAAAATAAAATCTGTTCTACTACTAAAAGCAAACTATAGTTTGTCTAAAAATAACCACAAACCAGAAACTATAAATGCATCCAGAGTTAAAGCTTGTGTAATGCCATTGTTTTGAGCTTTTGTGAGATATGAAATGCACCATTAAGTTTTAGTATATTTATGCTTTGAAGTAAAACACAATGGTCTGAATATTCTGTAGTTACTATAAACAATACAGAGCATTTCACAGCAGTTGTTAGAAACAGTTCTCCCCTCCAATCAATTGAAGAGATTTAAAAAAAAAAATAAAAAAGGAACTGAAAAGAACTACCAAATTGCAACTGAATTTGAAACACAGTGAGAAGTTAAGACTAAGATAAGTGATTTCACCTTTTACAGCCTGAAATCCATTCCTCACATTGTGCCACCAATTACAGCCTGAACATTCAAGTAGTCAAAACAGGTCCACAGGTAGCAATGCTCTGTACAGCTGCCCTGGGGTATCCTTCCCTTCTGCAGCCTCACAACCTCCATGGTTCTTCTCCAATGCACACAAACCCTTTCCACCTGTACACACTGCAATTTTCAGTAAGGTAGGACACGTACTTCTCTTCTACCATTATCCAGTCTCCTCCTTTTAAGGAGCATAGACAAGAAAGAGCATTGAGATAAAAAGAAATGTAACTATTGTTTAGGGTAAGTGAAGAACACAGAGACCATTCTGATGAATGAACAGGATAATCAGAAATGGCAAATTGGCAAGCTGCTTGTGTTTTAATGCAGGATTCAATTATGTCTACATGTTACAAAGTTATGTTGATTTAAATCACAGTTTAACCGGGCCTTGCTTTTAAAAAGGTAGAAGAACAGATTATGGGAAATCCAGACCATAAATGGTAAAGAAAAACATTACAACTAGAGCTGGAGGTGGAAGGAAGAAACTAAGATATCATCTGAATTTTGTAAGGCTGCCAGAGAAAATGTATCACTGTATTCTCTATCTGTAACTCTTACTAATTATAATTGGTAGTTAGAATTTATCACTATGGACTAAAAAATTAGTATCAACATTCAATTGTTTCATTTCAATAGTCTCTGGGGGGAAAAAAAAAAGAAAAAAAACCAGACACAATATTCAGGTATGCATAGTAGTTTCAAAATATGACATTACAATGCCTGATAAGCAACACTAAATCAAGTAATCCTGACACAAGCAAATCCACAACAGGCAGTTTTTGTTGTAGTTACACTGGTTTGCCTTATACTAGGATAGCATTACTTTTTTTTAGCTTAGAAATGGCTAAGTATTATTACATCTAAACAGAGTAGTGCCAGCATTAGAATCAATTTAAGAATTCCATATACAAGGGAGAGGCACTGGTTACAAATATACCAAAGCTCAGGCAATTTTCATATCAAGCTTGCTTTTGAGCTCATCACTGTCAGACAGTAGATCTATACAGCAAGAAAGCTGAATTTTTCAAAGGTCCAACATTAGAAAAAAAATTTTAAAATATACTAACAATTAGAAAACTAAGATCCAATTGACTTTTCCAACACTGGAGTAGAAAAGGTCTAAATATGGTAATGTAAAAATTTAGTTTCACAACTGTTGTCAAGATCCTTTTCAAAATGAGATATAGCAGAATTAAAAACTAATGCTGTCAGCTCCATAAAAGAACTATTTATCCACTGAACATTAGATAGCTCAACCTTCTTGCTCACCCACCCTTGTTCAAAACATTTACTGACTTAAATAGTTACAGAATAAGAGAATTAGTATGTTCAGCACATGTACCTTGTGCTAAGTGAACATGCAGCGAGCATTTTCAGGCTTCAGAAAACACATCTGACAACTGATAAGCTAACCTACAAATACAATTTTTCTGCAAATCAGAAGACAGTTCACTGAAAAATCTTCCCCACAGACTCTTATTAACTGCTTGGAAGAATAAGCCATCGAAGTTGACTAATGTGACAGCTTGGCTACCTGACTCCTGGAAGTTTTTCCGCAGCCAGCAATGAGAACTGGAGAGAACACGCCATCTAGCGCGACGCCCGCCCGCCCTGCCCTCTCCCAGTGCCTCACCCCCACACAGCACCTACAGACTCATCCTGCCATTGAGGAGATAAAAACATACAGGCTATTTTAATATTTCTTAGAATTTTAAGATGCAGCACAGAAGCACTATGCTAAAAACTCCTTGTCCCCCCAGTAATGAGTTCAGCTGCCACTGATTAAAGTTCTTGCTGCACCTGGATGGGCATCAAGAATACACTGTATGTTTTTAATCAATGCAATTTACATCCTACTGTTCACAAAGAGCTCCCAGTTTTTGCAGGTAGACGTATTAACAGCTAAAATGTGACAGTTCAATACTCCGACTACTGTGAAAAATGTTTGTTGTTCTTCTTTTTGGAAAGCCCACAACAAAGTGTGTCCCAAGTACCAGCGTTAGAGTGTTTCACATTTCTACATTACTATTTAGTGTTGATTAATCATTAAGTTGAATAAACACTCACCACCTCACCTATGAAGCATCTTTCTCCTAACTGTAAAGCGTGTCTTTTGTAAATTCTTTAAGTGATAATTTTCCATCACTTCTCATTTCTGAGTTGTCTTGCCTTCACTTTCATTCACTCAGTAACTTTTCTATTAGCAAATTCTCTCCTTATGGGGCGGGTTAGATTTCCTCGTATTTTAAAATCTAAAATAAAATTTCACTAAAGAAAACCTTTCTGGTTCTTTATTACACTTGGTTATTTGTGCTGAAGCAAACACCATTCTTCTAACTAGTACTTTATAAAGCCTAAACCTACACTGAATTCTCCACATTGAAAAGCACGGGCGTTATCCATTTGGCTGACAGAATACCAGAACTGACCGTAAGTCTGATCAGCTTAAGACAAATTATTACTACTAAGATGTGCTTTTCTGTCACTTTAATATAAATTATTAAAATTCTGTCTTTTACGTGTTGTATGTAATTCCTCTAAATCCCAGCTTTTCTGAGATGCTATTCTTTGCTGTCATTAATTAGAGGCTACCACCAAGAAACTCCTGTATGAGGTTTCATTATGAACCCATAATAAAACAGCGTCAAAGAAAAACATTTTTTAAAGTTTACTAGTCTTCGGATGCCATTCCTCGTTACCGCCACTAGATGCCACTCTCCTTCTTGCCTATACCTAAAATGCAGCTTTATTCCCCAAAGGATCACACCAGGCCATCAGTTACTAGTGTCGAATTTTCCAAACTATTTTAAGCGCGATGAGTAACAAAGACTGTTGCAATATTTGTTGAAAATTTCTGCCCAGGCAGAGGTTTGTCTGCCTGAATTTTTACGAGTTCAAGTGAAATATCTGACAACTGGTTTGTACCCCCAAAGCAGAAGCATCTAAAAATGAGAGCTGCCTTGTAATGGGGTATTAGTAGTCAGATACTGAAATGTTTAACTGACTACAGTGCTGTTTCCTGTATGAATGTATTTCAGTTAATGGACAAAACAATGCAAGTAGAAAAATGTTCAAACTTTTAAAGTCTTTCCTACAAAAGGACTTCAGGAACATAGTCACAGCCACTGACAATGTGCCTGAGCTCCTCTCCCAAGTAAATGTCTGTTTGGTTTTGGCACAGAAAGAGAAAAAAAATAATAATTGCAGAATAAAAACTCAAAGCAATTTTGTAAAGACAAGCAGTGATTGCCTTTTAAAAATAAGGAAGGGCTGCTTAGGGAAACCAAACTGACACCCACATGTCTGAACACACCAAATTATTGTTGAATAAACAATTTAGCTTGCTTAAGACACCACCTTTTCTTGATAGAGGACCGATTTAAAATCCTTTCTATGACTATTTCCCTTGCTGTTCAAAGGGATCATGCTTTAGGTTTTTTGCTATCTTGTTTCATCTTCGTATACCATGAAAGAATAGCAGATATTTGAATCCTGTAAGTAGCACTGTGCAAATACAGCTTGCCAGGGTACAGTTGCCCAAGTTCTTATTTAGTTACAGACTAATTGTAGAATTCCAGCCTGTGGTAGGAATGTCTGAGCAGGTCTTGGAGATCAGAGAGGGAACCAAGGCACAAAGAGCTAGACCAGTAAACCTGAATTTCATTATAAGCCCCAAACATTTCTTATATGGTGGCAAGAGTCAACAGATATAGATTTATTCTAACTTGCCTGAAGTTTGTCAGATTCATTTTTAGGTTCACAGATCAGTTTCATGACTTAAGCAAACCTGCACAGGAGGAGACATAAAATGCATCCATATTGCCAAGTCAGCTCTAACATATTTGTAACTTTCCAGGCCTCCATTCACCCTCCACTCAGGGCCACCGATTCACTCCGCTAAAACCACCTTTCTCCAGGTGGGAGAAATCATTAATTATACACATTCTCAAGCTACCTGGTAACTCCTAACACCTGGGCCCTTCAAAGAGAGAGCATTCTTAAAATAAAGCAACAAAACACCAAAACACTAAATCAATCATCCAGTCTCCAAAATGCACAAGGAGCACACTATTATTAAGTCTGTAATTACACGTTCTTCTACTTTGAAAAACAACTTGAAAACAGCATTATCAGATTTCATATTTATTCTCAATTCACAGGTTTTCATTCCCACACCAACTACTACCAGGACTGGAAAAGCAAAGCCAACTTGATTCTTTTCACCTAGCGCAGAAGGGTTCTACAAAGCCCAGTCTGACTTGAATTCAGACACCCGAAAGACAAGTGGAAATATTTTCACTATTACAGCATTCTACGTCAATTGGCCTTAAATTATCATTTCTCCCACAAGAGCAACTCATAGCACTTACTCTCCAAATCAGATATGATGAGATTGTCATGAAGCTTCACAGCACGATGCTGCTCCACTTCATCCTCCAACTCAAAGATAGTTTCTTTCATGTCACTTCGCTCGGTCTCTTTCTCATCTAGTTCTGTCCGAAGTTTTTCTAGAGTTACGTTGAGATCCTCAATTTGTTTCTTGGCTTCTTCTTGGAACACTCTGTATTCGTCTTCAACCTGAAAAAGAACGCATCTTATCATAACTAAATTGGTTGCATTTTAAAACACATTTTTAGTGTTGTAACTACCATACATACAATATATTTCTGCATAAAAGTATGGGACAAGAAGTCGAGTATAAGCCCTTAAAAATGTACTGTTCTAGTGCAACTATTTTCTTGACCTAGCCTTAAAGTCTTTTCTTCCCAAGCTGAATATATGAGAATTCCCCAGCTACTCTAACAGCGGTACCCTGTATTCAAGTGAAGCAACAACACCATAGTACCAAGGCTGTGGTTTCACGAGCAGCTGATCCAACTTAACATCTAGCTGCTGTGGCAAAGGGAGGGAGTGGTGGGGGAAACTCTTTACCTTTTATTTCTCTTGCCAAAAAAAAGCCTGCTCTCTTCTCTGCAATTTTAGTGCTTGCTGGACCTGTGAGATGGTTCATTTTCTTAACCAAGTAGCAGGATTCACATTTGTGTGTGAGATGTGTTAGTGAGTTGAAGCAGTTCCCAGAGGAGTCTTGCAAACTACTGAACTGAATTTAAAAAAGCAGAGAAGAGGGAGCAGACTTCTTTCTCCCTTTCAGGAGCAGTGAGACTATTCTATCCTGCCTCATGAAACCGCCATGTAAGTACCCTTTCAGGAGCAGTGAGACTATTTTATCCTGCCTCATGAAACCGCCATGTAAGTAACAAGCTGGGATCAGAGGCACAGGAACATTAACCCCCATGCCCAACAGCAAAAACGGGGTGTCAGAAAAACAAGAGAAATTAGGTCATGGCTTAGGGTGGGTCAGAACAGTCAGGCACCAATTTTAATCCACAAAATGTCCTGCTTTAAATCATCTGTTTCAGTACTTTTTATTTTAATTGCACTACCCAACTTTAATTATTAAAATTATGGTTTGTTTTGGTTTTTTTTTTTACTCCCAAATTGAGGCTGATTCTAACTGGCTGGTGATCATGACTAACATGTTGATTTGTAACTAATATATAGTTCAAACATTAAATTTGGCATAGATTTTCTCATCAGGAAGATATATCTTTAAATGCATACTCAAAGTTATTTACTAAATTCTATCAGATTCTTATTTTTATATTCAATTATGGTAAATGCTTCTACTAGAGATATTTACCAGATAAATTGAGTTAAAATAGCTTTTTTTTTAATGAACTACAAATATATATTTTGATCCAAAACCTAATTAACACACAAGCTGCTTCTGGATGAGTCTTTAGCAAAAAAAAAACTATGTGTATCTGCCATACTTAATAATAATTGCTTTAAAGCTTATAAAAATGTTTTGGTGGTGGTTTTTTTTTTCCACTTAAAATTAGAAATCAAATTAAATTTGGTAAAATTTACCTCAACCTCAAAATTAGTCATTTCTTGACTGGAGAAAGACGACGCTTCTCTGCATTCCTTACAATTAGTTTTTCTAAGTTAGCTGAACCAGCCTGCATAAGCTGAAACTTGAAAATATTTTCTCAACACATGTGAAAGGTCCTACAAGTCATCAACAGCTGGGTTGTCACCTCAAACTTTGACCCCCAGTACTTTCTCAGTGACATCCCTCTCCCACCAGCTTGGCATTAACTCCTCAAAACTCTTGCAGAAGGCATGCAACTTAAGCACAAAATTCATATGGTATCTTTAATACCGTTTAAGTTTGGCCCTTGGAATGAATTGTGGAGTTTAGATACCAGTACTTTAAAAAGTAACCTGACAGTTAACCCTGTGGCTGAATGTATCCATACAATTCTTTAAAAGGCCTATGTCATTTCCATAAAAAATGTTAAGATAAAGTAATCAGTACTAAGACTATTGCAATCTGATTAACCTCATGATTAATCCTTTACTTCTAGAAGAACTACAGTTACAACAGTAAGTCATGGTTTATATGAGATGATAAAATGCAAGTTTGTTTCAAACACTACCTTAGCAATGGCATCTTGCAACCGATTGGCATCATTGCGAGTGTGTGCCAGCTCTTCTTGCAAACTACTGGCCAATGTCTCTGCTTTTTCTTTATCCCGCCTGACACTCTCCAGCAAGTCTTGTATATCTGATTTATCTCCAGAGTTGTGTATAGAATACAACTCAGCCACTTTTTGCTTCTCGTGCTCTAACTGAGCTTTCAGCCTATTCATCTCAATCTGGTCACTGGCTACTGTGGCTTTGTACTCCTCTAAGGTAGACGCTATCGCTGTTTTGCTTTTCTGCTCTGACTCAATAATTCGTTCCATGTGGTGATTTCGTTCCTTTAATGCCCCTATCATTTCCTGGGCCTCCTTGTTGTCTTGTTCTGCCATCTTCAGAGTGTTGCTCAAGTGCTGCTGAACACCTAACAGCTGCTCTCGCTCAAACCGAGCGTTCTCTGCAAGGTCCATATACCGTTGCTCTAACTCCATGTAGCGACCGCTCTTCATATCTTCATCAATGACATAGGAAATATGGTGTTCATCTAAAAGGGACCGAAAATACTCAATCTGACGGCTGAAGTGTTCTAACTTGTCACTTTGCTGGCACAAAGATTCCATAAGGATTACTTTTTCCTCTCCAAGTCTTTCATTCTCACTGTTTAACTCTTGTGTTATTTGTTGCAAATCTGCAAGCTCTTGAAGCGTGGCTTGGAGCTCTTCAGCTGTACTGTGCTGATTCTCTTCCATCTGATGTATCCGTTCTGTCAGACAAGCTACAGACACTTCACTTGCATTGCCACTGCTTCCCTTCCTAGATCTTTCTATACTTGGTACCCCTTCCGACTCCGAAGATGATGGAGCATCTAAGGCATCATCGCTTGATGTCAGTGGCTGATAAACCTCGCTGCACTCACTGTCTAAATTATCCATGGAATTACTATGTTGATTGTCCATCAAAGTGTTTTCATCCTGACTTAACAAGTCTTCCATTGACCCAGGAGCAGAACCTTCCACTGAAGATGTCAGAGTACCACCACCATCACTGTGGTTGCCGGCTGTAATCTCTGGACTCAAAGACTGATAGCCAAAGAGTTTTTCAGAGTTGTCCAGCCTTTGTTCCAAAGAAAAGCCTAACGCGTTTAGTCTGTCTTTTAACATTCGGTTTTCATTCTTCAGCTGGTTGAGCTCCTCTCGGATGGCTGTGTTTTGTTCCTGTAACTGTAGCAGTGTAGACTCTACATCAGTTGGCTGATGGACAACAATGGCTTCTTTTTCTTCAGATTTTTCATCACCTTCAAGTTGATCTTCATTAAGTCCCAGCTGAGCACGCATATCCCTTAGTTCATTCCGCAGATGCAAGATTTCCACATCTTTAGTTTTTGCTAGCGTTAAAAGATCGTTCACCTTTGCTTCCAGCGCAGCTTTGTCACTGATTTGATTGTCTGATTTGGACTTGCTCATTCGAATATCCGATTCCGGGTTGGTGCGGCTACGGGAGCGCTTTGCCAGTACCGTGTCACTGGTGCCCTGTCCACTCAAAGGCAGTTTTTTGCTCTGGCTTAAACGAGAACGATCGCGTATCCTTTCTCTAGAAGAGCTTGACTCTTTATTTCCAGATGAAGTGCTACGCTTAGTTGTGGAACTTGTACCTATATGTTTTTTGAAAGTTAGGAACATTAATGTAAAATACAGTATCTGTAATAGAAGACTGTATCAGCAATACAGTGGTTGACTTTCTGAATCACACTGGTAAATACATTTTATAAGATGCATTTAGAGTAAACATTTATACAAACTTAATCACGAATCAGTGCAGTTATATTTTCATTGATACCTGCTTTACCAACTGCTCTGCTTTACCAGTATTTTGAAAATGAATTAGATCTTAAAGTTTAACATTTGCAAGTTTCTTTTTTTCTGTCTTAACAGCTTCTGATAAATTGTACAAAATACCTGCAGCAGTGCTATTCCTACTAGTTCCAATTTGTCTCTCTTTTCAGTAGATTTCAATGCAAACTTTTAAGTGATGAGTTGCGTATTATTCCCCAAAATGCAAATTGAAGGTAGATTATTGCTACTTTACTTCCAGATGCTTTACAGCTTTGTAAGCATTACTGAGTCCAAAACAGTAGGGGAAAGCAAGACATATTTCCATCCATATTGATAACACACTAAATAATTTCACTTTTCTGAACAGTTTCTGAAAGCTCTCTTTATTTCTATAAAGCAGTACAGAATGTCCAAATTGTTGACTGCAACAAATTATCACATCCTAAAGACTTAGTGCTTGTGGCATTGATTTTTTTTAGATAAACTATTTTAGACATATCTATGATCCTTTAATTATTTATATGGATCTAGTTTTATACAGTAGTTGCATAATTAGTACTGAAAAAATTAAAAGGAACACCCTCCCAAAAGGCAATCGCGTTATTAAAAAACAGGAAAAGAGTGAAGGAGGTTTTTGATTTAACCACAGCCTTACTGACCAAACTTCATTAGGCAGCCTGGATCCTCAACACATTATAGGAAAATAAAAAGCCACCCAGCTACCATATGTAAGGATCAATACATCCACTTACCTGCAATGGTTTTGGGTTTATTTTCCAGACTGTTCATGGTCGTCCCTGAAGCTGAAGATGCGGCTGATACACAAGTGCTCTTCTTTGCCTTGACACCATTGGTCATTGTCACTCCACCACCACCGGCCATCCCCGCTAAGAGGTCATCATTACTCTTAGTCTGAAAGAAGGGGAAGCAGCAGCTTTAAGACAGCTGGCTGAGAAGCCTGCATAGCCAACATTTCTTCTGTTAAAGATTCCATCAGTTTAAAAAGTACATATTTGATTAGTCACGTGTCTATACAAGAATGTTGAAGATGATAAATGCGCTGCACTGTGCAGAGCTGGTAAGTTGAAACTGAACTTCAACTCCTTACGTGTGACTGACCATAGAAACTGAGTCTTCTCCCTCCCAGACAAAATTACTAAAGTTTCAATACCAAGGAGAAGAAAAGAAAAAATAATCAAGGAAAGCACAGTAACACAACACAGTCACACGTTTCAATTTTGACTGAAAGTTTGCTTGAGCATAAAAATGAACACAATTCTTAGCTAATTAAACCAGCAAATACTAGGAAGTTAGTCAACAGAATATGATGAAGCATTTTCTGGTGGTCAAGCTCACAACAAAAAGATCAAACCAGACAACACCACAAATCGATCTAACATATAAAATACCCTTTCTAGCTCAAAATACTAAGCCACAAATCACTGGAGACATAATGTCCTTCAATAGAATATGATGAAGCATTTTCTGGTGGTCAAGCTCACAACAAAAAGATCAAACCAGACAACACCACAAATCGATCTAACATATAAAATACCCTTTCTAGCTCAAAATACTAAGCCACAAATCACTGGAGGCCAGGACAGTATTTGGATGAAGGGGAAAAAAGCCACCCTCACAATATATCCTTCCCTTATTTTCATGCTCTTTATTAGGCACTCTCAGAGATGGGATATTTGTTTGATGGACTTCTGTCTGACCTTGTATGATCATTCCTGAAGCTACTGTTAGCCACAAACGTGGCACAAATGTTAGCCTGGAATGTGACAAGGCAGTAAGTTCAGGAGTCTCAAGATCCAGATTACTGAACAGAGAATACATCTTTCAGAATAAAGCCAACTCTAGAAATACTAAGTTCCTAAGTATTAACTGGCAGACTTCACAACTATTTAAAATGCAATTTTTCAAATGGAGAAACAATCAAAATATGCTAAACGTTCTTCCTATAAGGGCAAGAAAAATTAAAAGAAAACAGCTGTGTCAGCAGCATTCCTTGAGTAACTGTACTATTCAGCTGAATAATACATTTGAAGTCTCAACCACCACCCCAGCTAGGGTGGCACTTAGGACTTAACCAGTTGCTTTACACCATGACTTTCAAATTCTGCAGGTTTGTAACTTCTAGCTTCCACACATACTCATATTAAAACCTATATGCTAAACATTACGATTCTATACATTATGAATGAAGGTACATTTGCTTAATTTTAGAAAAAAAAAAAAAGAAAAAAGAAAGGGGCATCTCACTCCCTTCTATATAGCTTATTTTTGCAAGTGCAAATTTCCAAATGGTTAGAACACTGATCACAGTATTGCAGAAAGGGCATAGATGAGATTTGTGCTATTTACAAGAAGTAGCTGCAAAACAAAAGGGAGTTTGGGAAGAGAACATATTTGTTCTGCATGCTGTTGTTAGAAAGACAGATAATTTACAGCTAGAACAGGTATTTGTAAGGGTAAAATCCTCAAGGACAAAAATTATTTTATTGAATTGTGTAGGAAATGGTATGGCCTTCTATAAAGGTTTATAAAAGGCTTGAAGAAAACATTACTCTGAGGCTCTAATTTGATGTGCATCTAAACTGGCTTGTCTGCTAAGAAAAAGCCACCATTCTCTGTCACTCTTCACCATGCACTTACACACTGCACCAGGTAAACTGAAGCCTTTTCAAAGGGTTCCTTCCTCCCAGGAGCCAGATCAGCTCCTTGATCTGCTATGTCACACAGGAGGGCTACAAAATCAACAAAGCCCACACTTACTGTGTGAGCTGGGGGTGCGGGGGCAAGAGCTGAGCACAAGCTACTACTGTATGACAATCCTCTGTTATCCTGTAATCTGATCAGATTTCATATCTGATCTAAACTGATTTTGTACTGTGAGTAGAGGGGGAGGGAAGCAATGCTGTGATGCAACTATCACCTAAACCAAGGTATTACCAAAAGGCATAGAACTGTGATTTTCTATTTTGCTACTGCCAATCAGTCGGCAAACTTGATAGCTCAGAAGAACTATCTGAGCTGTCAGCATTTTTACCCTGTTGAAAGAGTGGGGAAATTAGATTAAGCTTCTAGACATTTATAGTACAAGTACATGTTATCAAGCCAAATAGGTCAAGATGTGACTCAGCTTGAAGAAAAAAAAAAAGCTAAGTAAAATACACACTCTCTGACATTAGTCATCTCCAGTCCTTGCTAAACAAAGGAATTTTAGACAGCCATTCTTCTTCTGACTTACCCATAAACTATTTCTAGTCTAGGTTGGAAGGCACTGCCTCCTCTGCAGCCAATAAGTAAACAGTTTCTCAAAACTGTAACACTATACTCTTGGCAAAGAAAACTATTTAGCAAAGTTTTGGAAAAATTACAAACCAGCAGCTCTCTTTTCTTAACACTCCATAATGGCAACCATTCTTGACTTTAAAAAAATCAAAGTATTTTTGTAGCATGTATTTTTAATGGAAGCTAAATCAATGTCGCATGTTTATTAAGCAGCTTTTTTCCTCAAGGAGTAACAGTTTCTCCCATTTGCTGAAAACAGTGCAATCCTGCTTAGCATTAAACTTCCTATATTAAAATATGTAACATTAGAAAATACCATAATTAGAAATGCTCATCCAGACTTATTTTGATTTGCTATATAAAAAAACCCCCACTCTATAATTATGAAATTCATATTCCATTTCATAATTAGAAATGCTCATCCAGACCTATTTTGATTTGCTATATAAAAAAACCTCACTCTATAATTATGAAATTCATATTCCATTTTCCCCCATATCTTTCTTTCAGTGCAATGAAACTTGAATGATCACCTCTACAATTCATTTCATCTTAGCTTCTCAACATGTATATCCTATTTACTGCACCTCATTCAAATGCATTTATATATATATATTTATTTCTACCTGGGATTTTCTTTGATGCTTGCTGTTGCTGCATTTGAGTGCTTGAAACATCAAACTTCACAACAATCTGTAATTAAGTTACTGCGTTTTGCAAACAAAATACTGCAGCCTAGACACATGAATACTGAAAACACATTCTAATTTTTAATATTCAAATGTTGATGTCCAAGTCCTGGCTTTCCAGGGACACTGGATTTTGCAATTCATTTGTATGAAATACAACTGCCATCTAATTAAAGTTATGAGTGTTAGCATGATCACAAGCTCATTAGCTGAAGAAGTCAAAAAATAATCATCTTAAAAAGAAGAATACACTATTATATACGGAGTATTCTTTGATGGATTAAAAAGGAGAAGTGGCTGGCAGTTAACCTTCTGCTGTAGTAACCTGTGTGGAGTGGTGGGGATGCCAAACTTTGCCCAAAATCCTGGGCAAAGTGGGAGCCAAAAACCTACAAAAAAGTAACCGACAAAGAGGCATTCTGAAGCAGAGGGACAGCCCGGCCTCGGAACAGCGTTCAGCTGTACAGAAGGGTGGGTCTCACAGTTTCTTCCTGTGCTCATTGTCCACACACTTAGAAAACCCCACAGAAAAGGACAAATCTATGGAACAATGCATAGTGAAAGAATCCCACCCAGAGCTGAACACTGGACTACGGTTATATGATGAAGGGGATGGGAAAAAAAAAAAACAGACTACAATTGCAAAGTAGCTAGGGTTATATGATGAAGGGAATAGGAAAAAAAAAAACAGACTACAATTGCAAAGTAATTTTCAAATTTGCAACATCATTACTAACTGAATTGAGACAGGTATAGTACTGCGTGTACTTCTACTCCTTAATAGTGGCCTCTCATTCAATATCCAACTCAAAGTTTTCTGCACTTCTATGCACATTTACTTTGAGGACTGAATAAACTAGTAAGATGTTGTAATTAAAGTTATTTAATGCCGCCTTATTTTTTTCTTGGTCAAGGAATCCTAAATGAAATTCATTACATATACACCTATTCATCAAGTCTAAGAGAAGATCCTACAACCACTACGAGAAAAACAACGTGCCAAATGTTTCATCACCAAGATCAAATACAAAACTATACAAAAAGTTATATTAAAAACAATACAACTTGCTATTGATACTTCTTTGAAGCCAGTAATTATAAACATGATTTGCCAGTATCACTAAATAAAAAAATACAAACAACTAACTTTGTTGTATAAGTATGGAACCCTAAAAGAAGATAAGAGTTGTCGTTATTATTAAGTCACACAGTTGGCACACCAGCAGCTTAAGTAAAAGCCATTGAACTGTACGAGTAAGCCTGGCTGTAACATAAAGCTGAGATAAGTCTTGGTAATTAAAAGAAAAATTTTCACTGTGCCTCAAATGTACAATTGTTATAAATTCTAAACCCTATACCCAAACACAGCCAGCAGTGTTACTAATAGAAGCAAAACTGTGAAAGCACACTGGGTCAAATTTCCTCAGTGTTAGATCCTCCTCCTCCTTTCTCTCACTGAGAGGTATGACGTAAGGAACTCAATAAGCAAACTACAAAGGACTTTTGTTTCCATATTCTTTGAGAGGTTTCTAGAAATACAAAATAAGTAGTGTCAACAAGCATCAAAAGATTATTTAAAGTTAAGAAAACGGCAAGATACATTGGGTGGCAAAGGCAAGGTGGGGGGCACCAGGAGAAAACCTGGCATGCAAGTTCGTCAGCAAAATTATTAACCATTCTTCCATAAAAGAAAAACAAGAAGTGAAGAGAGAAAGGGAACACACCTTCTGACTTCAGTAATCCTGCATAGCTATTAGAGATACCTCAACCCTTCCCACTTCTTTAATTCCAGGTCTTTCTTTATTTGGCAGTTATTTAAATGGCCTATCTGGTTTCCTGTAGGTGACAGTGGTTCATGCCCCAGTTGCAGCCACCAGCCATTTTCCTTGTCCTGTTCATTTGCTCCAGGGCAGCAGCAGCACCCCAGCTCTGCATACTGGGCTGCTGAGGGGCAAAAGGAGGTGGGTCCAGCCATATGTCCATGCCAGGAGAGGGAAATGAAGTCTGCCTCCCTCTAATCTGTCCAACCCAGATGCATTCACTCCCAGGTGAAAACTCCACACCAGCACATCTCAGTGTGTCTTATTTTTCTTGGTTGTTGAAAACCATCTACCTTTGAACTCATTCTAGGAGCAAGAATCAACTTGTGAAAATTCAGCTCGAGCAGTACTTCACCCAAAGCAAAGGCCAAAACAGCCAGAAGAATGTAGCTGCACTGACCTGTCACGGATCACTGGTATCAAAAAGTTTCTCATGTTAGATACCTCATTAGTTCTTTTTTCAGAATTCGTAAATAGCTCTTATCAAATCCCATTAGTCACTGACACGCCACTCAAGCAGAACACATGACACTACTAATAACATTCATCAGAACAGAACTTCCACTTTGCTCCTTTTGCAGAAGAGCCAAGTTCTGCAAAGTATATTATTTTCTATCACATCACACATCACAATATGAAAAATACAGCACGAATGTCACACAAGCTCCTGTTACCCTGGGCAGTGCTTTGTAACTACCCAAACTCCCTTCAGTTACCCGCATAACAAACCTGTAGTCTAAGCTGCTTGAAAGACAAGCCTTAAAATTCTATTCTCTTTAAAGCTTTATTGCAAAAAAGATAAATAATCAGAACATTCTATTGGTTCTTACCTTCAAAAGAGATGCTGATGTCCCAGTTTTGGAGAGTTTTGTTACTGCAGACACTGAGGAGCCGTTTTCTGGTTTGGCTTTTTCAGTTGTTTGAGTTTTATTTACTCCAGGCACTTTGGGCACTGAGCCAACACTCCTGCTTGCTTTCTTCATTCTGGGCTGTCTGTTTATGATGCATTTACAAACAAATCTACAAGCAGAAGGAAAGAAATTTTAAAATAAAATACAAATGAAAAGCCACGTCTTCTTCTATAATGCTCTACTTAAGACCAGAAATCCAGAAGAGCATTAAAGACCACAAATTAGAGCCAAACAGAATGCATGTGACTGACCAATGGTTTTTGCTTTTTTAAAAAAAGAATTTTTACCAAGAACTAAGTGCTTCCTACAGCTCCACTCCAAATTATTTTTTTTCAGTTCTCTTTCCACAAATGGCACTGAACCGAGGATATGCTATAAGTGACCCATGTTGCCGAGTTCACTCGTTAGCCAGCAAAAGAAAGGCTTATTAGGGCAGCAATGTTCTTTATTTCTGACTGTGGGAAGGAAAATACCGTGGGAGTGTTCAGGCAACAGCCTGACTACCAACAACACTGGATCTGAGAAAAGATTACCACCAGCTTGGTAATTAAAGCACTGAGAGAATAACTGCAGTTGCACCAGAAAAAGTATTTTTATTAAAAAATAAATATTAAAATGCCAGGACAAAAAAATTAAAAGTAGTTGAAAACCTCAGATTCTCTGAAACCATTTATTATTAAAAATCATATTAATAAACACATGGGATTTTACCAAATGTAATACCAGTCATACAATAATGAGGATTATCTCTGAGAAGAAATGAGCAGTAACCCACCACGTTCCATGGTCCCCAGGCAGGACACTTCAGCATCTTTACCCTGCCTTTCTCAGAGACAATTCTCAATACTGTCATTCCAACCACGAGCAAATAAACTAAACCCTGGAAACAAAGCTGACTACTCAAACCAGGAGCAGCTGCAGCAGTCCCAAACTCTGCAGTTATCACAAGAACTGCTAATTCTGGAAGACAACCTAAGAAAGGGTAGATTAGCCAACAGCCCTAACTTGAAGCATGGACTACCAGAAGGACTAGTCACATCAGGACCTTCTTCCCCCTTGCAAGAGTAGGATACTTGGCAGCTGTTTTCTTCATCTCCTTTGAGTCAGAAGACATAGGAAGGAAGATCAAGAGGAAGAAACTTCCACTCCCCTTACAGTCTTACAGATTCTGGATGGAAGTGAGTGATCGGGTTTATCTGAGCCCAATATCCTGTGGCTGATTGGAAACACGAAACACATGTAGTTGTTTTCACCTCTTAAAGAGTGAAGCATTTCAAAGACACAAAAAGCAGATTGATGATTGAGTGCATGAGATGTGCTACAAAAAAATAAAGTGATCAGGAGTCCTAATTCATTTCAGCTAACGAAATTAACACCATACACTAATACACACTCCTTCCCCCCCATCAGCACCACCTCAGCTGCATACAAGCATATTCCAAGTCTGACTTTGATAAAAGTCAGGAAAACTCCAGTTTTGTCTCCTCAGACCTTTAAGTGCTGCTAACAGAAGCAACAGGAAGTTCCATTGTCAGACACTGACAATATTTGTTTATAGCTTCCAGATTCCCTTTAGCTCTGAAAGCTGGCATGAACAGACACAGAAAACTTTGTTTGCTGTTGCAGTTTCATCATCAGAATGTCAAAAATGCACCCATCCTGCCATATGGCTACTAGTAATCAGAACGCCTTCACAGAAGATTAAATAACAGAGACATAATTTGAAATGAGACACTCCTAAGAAAACCAAAACCCAAACCAGAAAAGCCCCATGAAGGTAATATGTTTGCTATACACACATAATTTTAAGTGCTACAACTGCCTACTAGACTCCAGAAGCAGATGCTAATAGGACCAAGTTGCCACAGTTACATTTCTTGCCTTTTTTATGTTTATGAGTTGAACACTTACTTGTGCTTTTGATCTTACTCAGTTGAAAACTAAAACTGAAAAGACCAAAGAGGATAGAGTTGTTTAGTGAAACTGGCATAATTACTATTGAATGATATTTTTGATGTTCTACAGCCTACATAAAAGAAGTTGTCCATAGCATGGTTGAGAAAGAATCAAACACATTTCAGTGCACAGCTTGTTGTGAAGCTGATTGCATTAAAAAAGTTACCTCAAAGAAAAAAAATCCTCTACTCTTGCAACAAAGCCAGTAAATCAGAACCATGGCTTTCCGGCAGCTTATCAAGCTAGTAAACCCGTGCTATAACGAAAGTTTAGGTACTGGCAATGATATGACTAGCATAAATTTGGGCAGAGTTTGACAACCTGGCCTGGCCATCTAGATAAAGCCGTAGCTCCAGCTGGGTGCAGACATCCAGCAGCAGCCACTCACAATACACATTTACCAAGTCTTACACCGTGCCAGATACACGCTGCACACATGGGCTTTGCATGCACTGTAAAAGATCAATACATTTGGGATAGGCTTAGTATAGTAATACAGTAACATAACCCACGGGATGTATAATCTCAAGAGGAAATGCAGGCTAACATTAGCTTTTACAGTACAAACCATTTATACTCTTACAAATACATCACACAGGTCAACAGTGCCAAAAGACTGTGTGAAGTCAAACGTTTCTCATCCATAATGGATTTGTAAAAAATGCCTGTTTTAGAAATGTTCCTGAAAACATGCAACAGCATTTGCTTCAAAAACAGCAACTGCATAGCAAAGCAATGTAAATAAGTAAAACTAAACAAAGTAACTAAGTATAACCCTCTTGTTTCACCATAGCATTAATTTAAAATATCCATAAATTTGACATTGAAAAACACTATTAGTGATTTACTGAAGCTCAAAGGTAGAACCACCTTTCCAGGAACTTCAAAGATACTTAGAGGACAGGGAGGGTTAGGTACTGCTGTTCCCGTTTTTCTTCCAGAGAAACTGAGTTCTAGCAGTTACTTTCTTATTGAAAGAAGATTGTGCAATTATAGTTGCAAAACCAAGAAAAAGATACAAATTATTCCAACTTAACTTAAAATAAGGACAAGACATTAATTAGCATTACAGGTTCTAAAAGCAGCTGCTCACTCAGGCTCCTACAGTGAATTTATGACCTCTCAGTGCCAATTTCTCCCCTCCCGCCTTCTCCAGGAAGGAAGAAGAGGATGGAGTTTCAGCACTGAAAACAGAAGACATCAATATTGATGAATTTTAAGTGGAAAAAGCCCTATTTCATTCAGTTTCTCAAATAGCAGATATCACAGAAAAAGACTACCTTTATGCTTCTAAAGAACATCACATTCCTTAGGAAGACACAGTATTTGTCTCTGCCCAACACTAAGTTTTAAAATAAGAAATAAAATGCTCACTAGTCAAACAAAGCTTTCTGAACATTTACACAAAACACTAATAATTCAAATGAGAGCTAAAATATTATTTCACTATTGTTTTAAAAAGTAAATACTGCATATAAAACTACAGTTCATATTTTGCCCTAGGGAGAAAGATGGAATTACTGAAGACTTCCTTTCCCTTTATACACACCTCCTCCTGCCTCAAAGAGTGAAGTAGGAGCTTAACACTAAAAAGTTGCGGTGTTATTAGGAGTTGTAACTCCACGAGATAGTCAAGAGAGACTTTTGGAGGTGACTCATAATACTAAACAAAATACTCATCTATCAACAGACACAAGATCTTACTGGAAAACATTTGATTAATGCTAGCACTACAATATCAATTATAAAATTAATCAAGATGGAAAAAAGCCAAAACAAGCCCAAAATATCAGATAGAAAGACAGCATTCCTAAACTGAAATGTAACTATTCGCTCTAACCTGTACCCTTTCCCAGACGTCTCTCTTTCCACAGCACACATAGTCCAGGAAACAAAAGGGAATCTTGTTCAGGAGCGCGCTCTCCTTGCTCTGGTGGAGGCATGTGAAACCAGTCCTGCGTTTTATACCAACTGCAAATACAACTCCATAAATAATAATTTAAAAGTGTTTTGCCCAATAGCATGGCTCTGCTCTTTACTGTAAACTGATATGATACATCCACCCAGGCAACATGAAATGCTTTCAGGGTTACTCTTATGTACTCTTTAGAAACCTGACAACTGAAGGGGGTGGAGAGGTAGGGAGTGGATGATTTCTTACTGTGATTATTTAATCTCATCCATCATTTAATATTTTTATTTATTCTGATAATACAAAAGTAAAGTTCAATTACTAGGGTACAAAAAGTAGTTTCCTGTGCCTGTAAAGTGAGAGAAGGTTAAGCAGCAAAGAAGGTATTAGCCTTTTTCCTTTGGTTGAAAATACAAAGTATCAAGAGCTATTAAACAGCTTTATCTATTTAAAAAGTGTGAATTACTAAGAAAATTATAAATAATATTAGAATAATCTTTTAAGAGTTCCAGGAAAAAACAGAAACAATTGACCCCTCAAATTTGAGCATACTGAGCATTTTTGAAACATCAAATAACAAAACACAGAGGAAAATTGAAATATTCACATCTAAGAGCAGTGGAGTTAGGACACTTTCACTCTCTATTTGTACAAGTTCTTTGGTTTTGATATATTTAGGCTGACAACTTTTGCCCATTCCCTAAATAATTAGGGAATGACATTTTTAGGTCACTTTCACAGCCCCAAAAGGCAGAACTGTGAAGAAAAGATTACGAAATAAAACCTTTTCAACCCCTTGTAGAACACAGATTCAGAACCTTCCCAAGTCTCTGCAGGTAAGACAGCACAGCCACCAACTTCACGACTGGGATAGGAAATAAGCTGCATACTAAAACACAGAGCTCTCTTTTATAACGCCCACAGCTCAAACTTTCAGGCTGCAAGCTGCAGAAGCACTCTAAAACGATACCTCTTGCTCAATAATTCCAAAAACATAATCCATTAACCACTGGATTCCAGAAGCCCAGAGCAGTAGTGCATTTGTTTTATTGCTTAAGACCAAGACTTGAAAGTTTGCTGATGTTAGAGGGTTATTTAAGATACCAAGAATAACAGGAAACCGTGTGGAATAACAGAAGACCCCTATGAGACTAACTGGACAATAAAAACAGTAAATAAAATTAAAAATGGGTAAACACAAAGCAATCTATCTCTTGGGGAAAAGCAACCCCGGCTTCATATATAAATGTGCTCTCAACTCATCAATATTGCTTGGCAAGACTTCAGTCTTTTGATTCACAGCTTCATTAAACTATGAGTACAGTGTGTAGAATAAGGCAAAAAAAATAATAAAAAGCAAAGCAATTCCAGGAATTACTAAAGAAAGGAACCAAGAATAAACCATAAAACACAAATATTGCACTCAAGAAATCCATTTTTTGCCCATCTACCCACACTTCAATTTATATGTGCAGTTCTGGTCTCTCAACCTCAAAAAGATTTCTTATAGACCTCAAAAAGGTTCAGCAAGGGGCAAAAATAAGATCAAGAGTATATAATAGCTCCCATGAGACATCTCACAGGGAATATGATAAAAGCCTATCGAATCTTGAACGGCATCTAGAATGTAGACTGGGACTGGCTGTTAATCATCTCTTCCAGTACTAAAACTAGGGATCAACAAATGAAATTAGAGCAAGGAGCAAAATAAGAAAAATGAGACATATTTTTAATGCAGATTGAAAGAACGCTGTGGCTGGACGAAGCACAAGTGAAAGGAGAAGCTGGACATGCACAAGGCAGAGAAATTCCCTAATGGATGCTAAACAGCTGAGCACAAAGGGCTCAGAAACCCCTCTGAGCCAAAAATAATCGCAGGGTGGGAAAGCAGTCAGGGTAGGAGGGAAGACTTTGGGTTGGGGTCTTTTTTGTCCTGGGGCATCTGCTCACAGGCATGGCTGGACCCAGAGCACCAGGTGGGCTGGATCCCTGCACCAGGCAGGGCGGTGTCTGCTACGTTCTTATGCCGTGAGGAAAATCCACAGATGTCAATGATTTATGGGTGCTGCAATTTTGGAACTGCTGCAGGTAGTTATTTAGAGAGGAAAGACTTTCCTATTACTTTCTATCTAAAAAATTCAAAAGGGCCTTTACAGTTTTCCATTACAAGTTGTGGAATTACGAAAATAGGAATTCTACCTTTAGGTTATCTTATCCATCCACTGTTTTCAAGCCACATTTGCTATCACTACTTCTCTTTTAAACAGAAGGGCGGAAAGACCAGAGCTTTGGGCAAGAATTGGCTGTTATAACACCTAAATTTCTCTACTCCTTCTTTGGAGAAAACTTCAGAGCTGTAACTGCTGTGAGCAATGTGTAACCGTTGCAATACTTAACATTCCAGACAAGTGACAGGAACATTTACAGAACTCCTAAACTTACAAACTGTGCTCTAAAAGCCTTTTCATAACAAAATTAAATAATGTAGTCTTGTTTTCAAGCTCCTACTTTAAACAACCACAATGTCAAAACACTGCCGAGGAAAGAAAAAGCAACTGTTCATCAACTAAATCCAATGATCCTACTGTAGGAAATCTGTCTCACAAGGAAGGGGAGCACTGTCCAAAACTCAGTCTCAGCACTAACTTCTACATTGACTGCACCTTCAGAAGCCCGTTTTTTCTTTTTTTTTTTTTTGGAATTGCAGTTTTGGAAACCAAAACAAAAGACCAGGTAAATCTATACCTTACTGGTACCCATCCTAGAGTTGATTAAAAAACATTCTAAGTGGGCTAAGTAACCCCATAGACACCCATTAACTATGGCTGCTCATACTAGAGATGAGAATACCATCCACGTTACTATTACAAAGGTTTTGTTTCATTGATTTTAAAAATACACATAATGAAAAACATCCTTATATCTAAAGGCAGTCTGTGTGCCCCTCGCAGAGCAAGCTGAGAGAAACCTCAAGCAGCAGAACATGATAAAGGAAACGAAGCGGGAATTTAATATGTAGAATATTAGTAAGATAAACATGGAGGGACACTAAAACCTGGTTTTGGCCATGGTATAGTTTTTCACTCCTTTTGGTAAGTTTCACACTTGCATCGAAATTTCAAGCCTAAAATATAACGCAATATATACCTATTTCCAGGATGGTAATTACTCCTCTATGTCAGATTTTAATGACTTCAACAAACTTAGCAGGAAGATTAACCTTCTCTATAGAATACTTAGGTTTATATTCCAATAAAACACAACCAATTTTTATTTTGGCAGTGCATGTTTTTTGGGCAAACCCCATCTGAACACAATAAATTTCCCAGCCAAAGGACTGGCCAGCTTCAACTATAAAAGCAACTAGTCTAAATATTGATACTTGGTCAGTTAACCAGGTTAACTGAAAACGTTGTTATCTATCATCATTCCAAGCATGTTCTGAAGTGTTATTTCAAAAATCAATAACCCTCCAGTTATAAAGGTGTCTTCAGTGTCACGTAACCCTAAGTATATACTGTATTCCTTAACCAACAATCAGATTCCCCTGCGTGCATGGAAATTTTCCTTGCACTGCCAGGGAAGTACTTTCAAAACCAGCAATGTAGATTTTTTTTTTTATAATTTGGCCAAATAGCACACCAAAAGGTGCACAACTTACACAATGGCCTCCTTCTGTTTCAGATGGACTAACTAGCTCAGCAGGTGACATTCCATTGCAATCTACTCTGTCTCTGGCACTGCTGGTCCCAAAAGTGCCACCTGGAATAGGTGACCAGTGGTGACCTTTTCCCTTTTCTCCATTCAGAACGTTATCAGCTGAACTCTTGTGTCACCATCTGCAGTAAAGGCTTCTGCAGCATGAAGCTCACAGGGTGAAGAAAGGCAGACAGGAGCTTGGCTGCCATCAGAGAAAAGGGGACAGAGAAAGGATGTGCAACATGGTGTTTTTCAGGAGCTAGACCCGCAGCTCCCAACACAAGTATGTTACAGGTAAAACCCATAACATAAGTGAGTAACTTTGACCAGGTCCCATGTTCATCCATGTTCATC